TCTTCGGCGTTAATATGATCGAACTGTGTTGTAAGTGCCATAAAACTCTTACTAAAACTAAAGGCTAAGGGATAGAATGTATGGAAGAGCATAGGGGAAAAACGGCATTATCACAAACTGGAAATTCTGAGGGTGTCAATTTTAAAAGCTTGTGTGCTCATATCTTCATAGTTATTTGGCTGGTGATTTATTGTTATGTTTGTTGAATGGGAATTCAAACAACAGTTGAACAGAAAAGCAATTAATTATGAGTCACCAAGCGTTCAAAATTGTTACCCTCACGATTTTCTTTTAGTGATTGTGAGTGTTTGGCAAGTGCTCTGGGGTGTTTTGCTTCTTCTTTCCTATCAAACGTGTATTATCTATATTTCCCCTTCTTCTTTTGGGGGTTTGATACTCCTTTACAACACCTCTAATCTTTCGATGCTAATATGACCTTATTGTCTTGCAAGTGCCGTAAAACTCTTACGAAAAAAAGTTTTCACTATGCCCGTTTACCCCCGTGCTCTTCCTGTAGTATGTATATTGTATCGTCTACACGTCCAGATGGCCCACTGGTGATCAGACCTCTGCTCAACTGGAAAGTGGTCCACGAGCGACTGCCTTGGTCTTTGTTCCTTCTGCTGGGCGGAGGATTCGCTCTCTCCCTGGGATGTCAGGTTAGAGCTAGCTCTCTCTCTCTCTCTCTCTCTCTCTCTCTCTCTCTCTCTCTCTCTCTGTATGTAATATTATAATTGTGAAAGTTCATCACTTTGGTCGCTTATAAATTCCGAACCACTTAACTTTCGGATAACAAAAACTTAGAGGTAGTTCAGAATCATTTAAAGCGTGCACAGTTATATTAAGGAATCTGACATCACTATAGTTTAATTTTCAGTTTTTCATTAGTTTCGTTCAGATCTAATGTTGGGAAAGTCCGTCCTCTAAGACACCATTGTAAACAAGTGAGGCTTACGTTCACAAGCAGTGCGCACTGTTGGACGATCAGTCCTTTTGAGTCCGTTAATCAAACGAGGACCCAGCTAGT